CTCTCTCTCTCTCTCTCTCTCTCTCTCTCTCTCTCTCTCTCTCTCTCTCTCTCTCTCTCTCTCTCTCTCTCTCTCTCTCTCTCTCTCTTCTGGACCGCAGAACCATACAGCAAGATTGATCACATGCTGCCACTTTGTCAGCAGTTCAGCGGTTGGCTTGCATGGTCCCCTAAGGCAAGTTTGTCTTGTTTGTCTAGCGACTCTCTGATAAGGGTGTCTTGCACAATGATGTGATAGGAACAATCTACATTGCCACAACAGGACAGGCCACTCTCAGGCCCTGTTTCCGGCGGATCCGTCACCCACTCTTCGCCTGCTCTATTTCTCGTATCTGATGGAATATCCAAACTTGCTTTCACCTTCGCCTCCAGCATTTCGGCAACATCACGTATGAGAGGGCGCTGTCTAACATTGTCTTGAATGCAATCCACAGCAACCTCAACCACAGCGATCAGCTCTTCTTGCTCGTAGTTTCTCTTCAGGCGGGCATCTGCCAGCTCCTTCCATCTGTCCCGAGCGTCGAGAATCGGCCGAGCCCAGACCGCCAGGCTCTGACCGTACTGAAATGCTTTCCGGCCCGTAATAACTTCGAGGAGGAGGACACCATACGCAAACACGTCACTGGTCATCGTAAGACTGGGTTTCTGAATCAGCGCAGGGTCCATATACCCCATGTTCTTCGCATCAACGGCTTTGGTCAGCAGGCCATTGCTGCCTCGGCCACCGTGCAACATCATCATAAGGCCAACATCAGCGATCTTTGGGGTGAGGTCTTCGCTAAGGAGTACGCTGGAAGACTTCAGCCCCCCATGAATGACAGGTGGGTCCAAGTCGTGGTGCAAATGGCTCAGCCCTTTCGCAATTCCCACCAGGATCTTCATCCGCTGATGCCATGCCAGGAGCGGATTGCACAGGTCATGAACATGATCGTGCAGACTTCCGCCCTCCACATATTCGTAGACCAGCATCCTCTCACCCTCGTCCCCACAGAACCCGAGAAGCTTTGCAATGTTCGGGTGATCTGGCCTCGAAAACTTGACGACTTCAACCCTGAAACTTGAAGCTCCCCCTTTGACAGAGCGACGATCCAGCCGTCTGACAGCAACAGCCTCTCCTCGCAGATCATCGATCTGGAAAACCATCCCGTCCGCTCCTCTGCCCAACAGAGTGGCATCCGAAAAGTTGTTCGTCACATCCAGCAGTTCCTGTAGTGGATACTCATTCAACTCACAACCGGTCGGTGCATCCAAGTGATGCGACATTTTCCTTCGACAAGAGATGATCCATCCAATCGCCACTATCCCTGCCAAAGCCAAGGATCCAAGGACGAGGCCAAACTTCCAGGCGTCCAGCATATGCCGGGACTTGCTTCTGTAGAAGTGGTCGCAGACGGACTCCGGTTTCTGCATCAAAGAAGTCGACGAGCTGCCGTTTCGATCATTCTCAAGGGATCCACTGAGCTCCTGAAGACAGTTATTCGTCAAAATTGTCATATTCAGCCTCGACAAGAATGCAACTGGCACATAATTGAAGTAGTTGTCCTCAATGTTGAGGCTGCTCAACTTTGGCATGCTGGCCACTACATCGGGAACTTGCCCATAAAACTCATTCCAGCTCAGGTCCAGCAGCACAAGTCTTTCCAGCTGTGCAATTTCAGGCGGCAGCGTACCACGAATCCCTTTCCCAGTGAGCGTTAAGAATGCTACCCGTCTGTCAAAGCAGTGGACACCCTCCCACATTTCACAAGCATTTCTGCCTTCCCAGGAGCGAAGTAAACGTCCAGAGTTGGCCATGCTAGCCCTGAGCGAGAGCAGGACCTGCGACTCCTGCCATTCGATATCGTCCGCCCTGGTCAGGTGGGGACAGAAAACCACCAGGCAAACGAGGAGTCCACACAGAGTACAGGTCCAAACAGAGCACAGACCCAGGACTTCTCTGCCAAGCCGAACCGCTTGCCGCTCCATTGCGGCTGCGGTGCAACCGCGGCACGTCGGTGTGCACCAACGCTTTTCCCAGCTTTGCGAACAAAAGGAGCAGCAGGTCGCTACATACCCAAACTGTTCGACAGTCGCATTTACCCGGCAAGCAATGCTGTAGCAGCACCCTGGCTGAGCTTTTTGCTCCCCTGCCTCTGCAGGGGCTGGCAGACTTCCTGGTGCAACTAGCAAAACGCCACTTTCATCCCAGAGCGCCCCCAGAATCTGGAATGTCGAACTAGCCTTGTACCACCCAGGGACCGGACACTACTGGCAATTTGAATACACCGCCTCTTCCCTGTCGAATAGCACGTATCCAGAATATGGACAGGCTGTGCACGACCAACATCTTGAAGACACGGGCAATGAACTGTGAACGGTCCTCCTGTGCAGGCCAACAAACACTGAGCCATCAGCCTGCATGTTGCCCGGCAGGAAGCAGAGAGAACTCCGCAAGGTCCCTAGTTCATGTCCCATGAAGTCCCAGATGTTTGCCCAGTGGAACCACAGCACGACTTTTGCTCTCCTAGATGAACCTGCAGCATCGGGTTCGCGACTTCCATCAGATCTGCAGCATAGTCAAGAAAGCAAATCTGCATATCTATCTGGCTGTCCTATTGGTGCAGCGACGACACGTATTTCCAAGTCCTTGTCCTCTCCAAACCAAGCGTTACAGCTAATCGAACACATGGCTGACAACTAGCTACCTATTGTATAAAATTACTATACATGAAATGTTTTGGTGGTGCCCCATGAAGCCACGGCACTGTCTTTACTAATACAACACACGCACAGCACGATTATACCGGCACCTCCTGAGCATTTCCAGTGAAATCTGAGAAAGAAACGACGAACCACACATACAGAGAGAGGACTGGCTCGCAGGGTTGCTTTACCGATTACACAGCTCTCCAGAGGATATAAGGCTGACAGCATACAAGCGCACATGGCTACATAAGTTGACTGTGCACGCTGTGCGAGTGAAGACGACAGAAAAACAAAGCTGCTCCTCCAGTGAAGATTAACCAATGTGAGTACATTGCTCCACAACCTACCAAGCAAGATATATGGCGAGTGAGGCAAGAAAAAAAAGAAAAAAAAGAACAAGGAGAAATGTCTGAGAGCACCCCCCCCCAAGTGCTTGTGATGTTGGAGGGCGACCGGCGACCAAACTCCACCACTTCTAGTGGCTGCAGTTCAGACGAGAAAGGCGGACATGGGTGATGATGACACAGGGGCGAACATCACAATGAATGAGAGAGCTTGATCGGTTGAAAACCAACAGCCCGCAAAAAAGGCTATTGCACGATTGATTGACAGAAGGATGGTCAGAGAAAGAGAAGTGAAACACTTTCCGCGAGGCTTAGCTATGTCTGGCAAAGCCTGGTCATTATAGCCATACGTATTTGGTCCGATTTGCGCACTTGATACAGCGATAATAACCGGGCGTTCTATTCCGATGAAGACGGTAGCCTCAAGTCCCTCGATATTCCACTAACACCTTCTGCGAGACTTGACTAAGAATGGCAATGAGGATGGAGCACCCATTGAGGGTGTCTCAGGGTAGTCCTCCCATCATCATGCATACGAGGTCATAACAGAAGTACGAGAGGACACCACAGCAACACTCTGGGGAAAGTGTCTCTCTCCCCGCGGACACGATGCAAATCATCAGCAAAAAATCACATCAACCAGGTGGCACTGTGGGTTCAACCCCTCGCAGTTTACCGGATGGGGAAGATGAGTCTGGATTGGACAACAATTGGCCATACAACCATACAGCGTGGAAAAGAGCGGATCCCATCCGGCATAGCCAAGCCCCGTGAGCAGCCAGCGCAGCACAATCACCTCCCCATGTCACCAAAAAAAAAGGCCCGATGAGACGATTGGCTACAAACATGGCATGGAATCAGTGGGAACCCTATATGGCGCAACCCAGCCCTGCGGCCCCTACCGTCATCCTGCACACTAAGACAGCCAGCCAGCGCAGAGCAGCTTCCTATGTTACATCCTTAAAACCACAAGTACATGCCAGCCATTGGCCGTTTGGCCCCTTTCGTAGGCCCTGCCGTCGATTTATTTTATCGACGGCTCTCAAGCCTCCTAAAACTTTAGGAGAGGCTCACTCCGACTTCTCAAACTTGGCGGGGGCCACGTTCTATTGCTTTTAAGCCCGACGAATTCTTCGAGGAGGCCCCTGTCCCACAGCTTCGTCCTAGTCTGGCTACAAAGAACACCCGCATTTCAGTATTGTGTTCTCTACCAATGAAAAACCAAAGAGAGACAACTGCCACGAGCAACAGCCGACAAAGATGAGGAGGAGGACGCAAATCCAACCGATAGTAGCAAAAGAGAGCAAAAAAAGAGAAAGATGCGGAGTCGGTGGAAAACGAGGGAAGCAACAAAGAAAGAGAGAGAGAGAGAGAGAGAGAGAGAGAGAGAGAGAGAGAGAGAGAGAGAGAGAGAGAGAGAGAGATGAAGGAGACATAACGGAGGGAGAGAAGCACGAATCAGTGGTGGAGGACGAAGATGTCAGATGCCTGCATGTCAGCTACTTGACATGTCAGCAGGATAGTTGGGCCACAGTAGTGCGCATGTTACAACATCGCTACAACATCGCTACAACATCGGTACCTGATGGGACCTGCTGGGACCTGCTGGGACTAGCGGGCCCATGTTCCAACTTTCACTCCCAGCAGAAAGAATCGTACCTCTTTTGAAGTTTTTTTCCAAGGGTCTTCGATATCGAAATGAAATTATACTCGAGAAACAAGGGGGGGGGGAAATAAACCATGTTCAACGATTTTTTCCTTTCATCTTTGTCACTTTGTTTGTCTCTTTTTGAGACACCGCACAGAACCCTTTGCGTCTGGCTCCTTGTCCATTCTCGTGGAGCATCAGTCCGGTATATAACTATTACCTATCGGCTGTGCATTTTGCATTCCAGCGGTGCCCTGCTACGTAATCATTAGATTTCCGGCTTTTGACAGAGTTGCGGGTCTCAGAGTCTACGAGTGTGGCGTAGGTAGTTTCATTCCCTACCAAGGGACCAGGGTGCATGTTCTCTCTCCTTTATGGGCACTGGTATCATCTTCGTTATTTAGAAGGGACTGGTCACCAGCCCTCTTTCGGGCCCAGCCGAGCTCATTCAGTTAGTTACCTGAGTTACTTTCTGTCTTTGGACCATTGCAGCCAAGATTTTTCATCTGCTTGTGACTCCCAACGTCCAACTGGTGAGGGAGGATCTCCGCTCCACACACGTCTGTATCTCTGCGGGAGTGGTCACAACACGGTCACAGGTTTTTCCCAGTCCTTTCTCCCCCCTCTTTCTTTTTTTTCTTCCCTCTCCACTAACCGCCTTGAGATATCATCGTTAAACTGACCGGCCCCAGGTAATTCAGAATTATCTTCTTCTGTTCATCTGATTGCACGTGGATTCAAACTCCGGTCTGCATTCCAGCAGTTTGTACACATACCGACCGCGCTACGCTCGTTGGTAGCGTTTCATTTGCCTGTCAGGAATAAGATAGTGGGCTGGGGGAGCCCATAAAAGAGCCAGGACCTGGACAGATCATTGCTCATTTGATGATTGGCTGCGGCTTGAGGCATGGAATCATTGGTTGAGGGCTAGGCTACTAGCCATACTGAGGGGGGTAGAGATAGGAGGAGAGTGGTCATGCAAGCTCACATGGTGAGGTAGGAGAAAGTGGGGTTGATCGCTGGCGTGCAGATCTATAGGATGGGTGGGTGGGGTTCATGCCTGCAATGCATGTGCAAACAATTTGAAGATAGAACTGCATTTCGTGCTGCGTTGGGAACACCTGAGGGCCCCAGGAAGATCGGTATTACACTCAAACCACCAGTACCTTTCCCATATATTGGCCGCGGGAAAAAAATAGATTGGAAGCGTTTCGACTTGGCTGAATTTGGGCGCTTTGGTAGTGGCCCGGCCGTTCATCCTCCGAAAGTCGCAGCCGCATGCGGCGACAACTTCCGGAGGTACTGGCGGTTTTAAACTGTCATGATGTTAACTTCTCCACAATCAAGCAGCTTGCATACCCCATCGCCAGTCTGTTTCAGCAAAAGGGCGGCAATGGCGGTAGGATCGTTCTTTCCCATTACACACCACTTCAGCTGACGAAGCTAGGTCGGGCTCTTACTAGTCTACGCAGGAAGGCCATGACACTTCGGGCATGTGCCGGTAGCGAACACAGAAGGCCACTGTGACAAAAAACAGTTGGAAGCTCGCGATCCCTGGAAGGTAGCTCCGTCAACTTAGGCTTGTGTGAACTGGTGGTTTAAAAAAAGGGTACCTCCTAAGATCATTATATCTGTCGGGATCCCATCAGGATTCAAACTTACAAGCTGTTCACTAACAGTTCTCTCTCTCTCTCTCTCTCTCTCTCTCTCTCTCTCTCTCTCTCTCTCTCTCTCTCTCTCTCTCTCTCTCTC